TATATAAGAAAAATGGGTATGTTTGGTACCAAACACTAATTTTGTGCTTGGTATTAAGGTGACATATTCCCCTCCGCTCATTCAAATAGGGGACCACATTCGCATGAGTTGAGGAGTGCATGAGGATATGTAACTATTTTAATGAGTGGAGGGGGGTGTCACTTCACTACCAAACACAACTTTTTATGCTTGGTACCAAGCATACCCATCTCTCTCTATATATATTATATATATGTGTGTGTGTTCCCATTCCTTTTGTTTTTCTCACTTTAAATTGATTGGTACTTTTCTATCTTTTGTGCAGTATGGAGTAAATCTTGCCATACTCGCAGACCGATTTCTTCATGAGGTGGCATTTAAACTTTGGAAGGCACCAAAGTATGGAGCTTAAATAATATATTAATAGATAATTGCATGTTAATAAAGTATTTATGGAAAGAGTAGAAAATATAGAATTGTCTTAAAATTATACCATGAAACTCATATAGGAAAATTACAAAGAGCATTCTTATGTTTATGTAAGAGGACAGAATGTGAAAACATTATATTTTGGAAAACATTAGGATATTTAAGTGCAGCAAGCTAGATATGTTACCTAAAATTTAAAAAATGTGCAACAAGATACAAGTGGAGGTATATAAATATAATTGCTGTAAACTATAAAAGATTTAAGTTCAATTAAGCCTATAAAAGATTTAAAACCTATACAAGTGGAGGTATATAAATATAATTGCTGTAAACTATAAAAGATTTATAGTTATCCATAAACAATAATATATGAACCCATTGATAAATAATATTCATCATACAATATGAGGCCAAATGGTTAGCTTATATTTATATAGTAGAGGAGATGCTGAAAAATTGAAGCATCATATTTTGAATGAGTCTCAAGATTTTGAATTATTTCCTAAAATTATATACTTCGCTTAAAAAACTTTAGAAGAGGCTTCTGAAGGACTACTACAAAGGGTTGGACATCAGATAAATATTAAACAAATAAAATCCATGATATTAGATTGTAAAATTCAGGAATGTCTATGTAATATTGGGTGTCATATGAGATAATATTCATACATAACATGACATTGTAATATGTAATCTAACATATTAATGAAATTTAAATATAATAATTTGCATCAAGAAATATGCTTAAGATTTGGGAGAGCCGAGAGTGGAGAGATTTGGAGAAGAATTGTGGCCTTTGTGGGTTTTGTAGGTTCCAATTTTATTTCCCAAACACGATCCAAACTCGAGTCCACAATCAAATTAAAAATAACATGATTTTCTCAATATCTTCAAATAGATATATTGGCTATATTTTCGATAACGCTCGATATATCAAAAAAATCACCATATAAAAAAAACAATAGGAAATATTACCGAGATAAAGTCTTTAACCCGATATATTGGCCGATATAGCAATATATCGGCAAATATTTCATAGGATACCTATAAGAGCAAATATGTAAATGTTATTTAGATATTAGTTTCTTGATTTTAAATATACAATGATTTTATGTTATTCCCTGAAATGTTTTAAATTGCTCATAATTTAGGGACTAATATTAAATTATTAAAAAATTTTGATGTTGTTTGACATTAGATATGTAACGCCCCACCTTGGAATCCCGGAGTCGGTACGCTATTAGATCTGATGGACTGGCCTCACAAACCACCACATGTCTTTTCAGCACGTTTTGTCCTCACTCACGCGTTTCCTGGAAAACTTCCCAGGGGGTCACCCATCCTAGATTTTCTCTAGGTCAAGCACGCTTAACTTTGGAGTTTCTAAGAGTTGGGTTCCCGAAAAGAAGATGCATCTTGGTGGTATGAGTATTCCAATCAAATCTATCAATACTAATCACATCACCCTCTCAAGAGTTGGGGTATTACAAGATAGATATGAATTATTTTGTTAAAATACAATCAATATGAGTGCATAATATGTATAAATTATTCTCAGACTATATTCATAATTTTCTAAAACTAAAGAGTAATCATTTTGATAGATCAATTAGTAGTTGAGAAGATGTAAAAAGAGTACAACAACAGATTTTAAAATTGATCATATAATTTATATTTTTTTCTTGATTGAATTTGCACATTATAACTTAGAGAATTCTAGAAAAAAGTTCTTGAATATCTATAATAATACTCGGTCTCCTGATAAACAATAGGTGGAAGTGATTTTTTCATAACCGAACAAAATCCTTACTAACTAGATAAAGCCTACCATTTTTCTTTGATGAATTCAAGAATTTATTTATTTTATTAATAATTATAGGTTTTTCCCGTATTGGTCCCTTACATCATTAATATTTTAAAATTATACGTTCAAATTAGTAATTAATCTTAAATCGTTAATATTTTAAGGTTTTAAACATCACTATTTTTTTTGGAAGACAAAAATGTTAAAACCACACATGGAAATATCCAAAAAAAATTAATATATTATGATATTTATAAAGTTTTTTGCAACCATATTATAGTAAATAAATAAACATGGAAAATAATTATGATATTTGATCACGTGTGGTGCACGTGCATTCCACCTAGTATATATATATGAAAAAATGTTCCTAAGGTGACGCTTTAGATAAATATCTAAGGACGCGACCTAAAATTACATGATTGAGCTACATTGTGGATGATTTGCTCCGTTGAACTTGATCTACATATTCTAAAACCCTAACACACTAAGTTTGGGGTGAACCATCCGTCGAGCCATGTGAAAAGTTCTACTCATTCGAAACCCTTAAAAATGATACGAGTAGATGAAGGGTCAAACGACGACGGGTTTAGCCCAAACTTTGTGTGTTAGGGGTTTAGAATATGTAGATCAAGTTCAATTGAGTAGATCATCCACAATGTAGCTCAATCATATGATTTTAGACCGCGTCATTAGATGATTATCTAAGGCGTCACCTTAGGAACACTTTTCCCTATTCTAATAAAAACCTCCTTAGCCTAAAAACTAAAAATCAATATCATTCATTGGATCTAGATGAATCCAATGGCTGGGAGTCAGTCAAATAGTCAACAGAACATGCATTAATTACCTCAACGAACCTAAATCTGGATTCACTACAGTGAATTTGGATTCACTGCAGTGAATTCAGATTCACTACAGTGAAAAACGTGTTCGTTGAGGTAATGAATCTGGATTCACTACAGTGAATCTGGATTCACTGCAGTGAAAAACGTGTTCATTGAGGTAATGAATCTGGATTCACTGCAGTGAAGGACGTGTTCGTTGAGGTAATGAATCTGTATTCAATGTAGTGAATCTGGATTCACAGTGTTGATGTAATTAATGCATGTGTTTAATGAGGTAATTAATGCACGTGTTTGTTGACTGTTTGACTGAATCCTAGCCATTGGATGGAGGAGGTTTTTAGTTTTTAGGCTAAGGAGGTTTTTATTAGAACCTCTCCCTCTCTCTCTCTCTCTCTCTCTCTTAGTATATATATATATATAATATATATATATATATATATATATATATATATATATATATATATATATATATATATATTATATATATATATATATTATATATTTTGAGGAATATGGTATACTTTGGGCCAAGGATCCTTGGTAGTGATGTGGACAACATCTTGTCCATACATCACACCTTGTAGTTGGTGAGGCTCCATCTTCAATTGATGCTATGGACAAGATGTGTCCACATCACTACCAAGGATCACTTGGTACCAAGTATACCCATTTTTCTCTTCTCTCTCTCTCTCTCTCTCTCTCTATTATATAATATATATAATATATATATATATATATATATATATATATATATATATATAGCACACACACATACATTCTTAAACCATGAAAAAATGACATATTTGAATGAGACCAAGGGCAGTTAGGTCATATTATCATTTTATACCTTCAATACAATAGGAAGGAGGAAAATGTCCACTACTCATCCAAAATTTGGGCTATATTTTTCATATAAAATATAAATTTAATAATATTTCTCCAGTATCAAAATTTTCGGCTAATAATTCTCAAGTAACAACGAACTAATCATACTTAGGTGTGGGTGTGGGCGTGGGCGGACTGGTTCAGGCCCATGACTCGACATGCCGAGTTCAAGGTCGGGTCGGGTCGGTCCGACTCGGGCCGCCCGGATCGGAGTGGGTCGGGCCTATTTCTTTGATCTTGGGTCTAGGACTTGACCTGACCCTGTCCACAACCTGCCTAGGTGCAGGCCGGGTTGGGCCCGACCCACGGGTCATGGGTCGACCAATGGGTTTTTAAGCTTTTTTCTACTTTTTAATTTTTAATTTCTAAACTACATTAACTTTGTATTAGTATCTAATAAACTATTTTTTCTATTTTACTCTTTATTTAAAATGATATATATACACACATTATACAAAGATAAACATCACACAGAGAAACATCGTAAACACAAAGATATATGTGGTTTAGACTGCGAAGGAAGATCTACGTCCATGGGAAATTAATAACTTTCATTTAGTTTAAATTTAAATTACAAATACAAGAAGAAAAAAGGAAAAAAATGTTAGCTAAAAACTAAAAACGAAAGACTAAAAAACTAATAATTAAAATTTCGGGTCGGGTCAAGCTGGGCCGGGCCGAATCGATGACGGGTCGGACCTATTTCTCTAGTCCCGGGTCTGAAGCTAGCTGAACCGAGTCCAGCCCGTGCCCAACCCTAATCATACTCAATAGTTAGTCTACATCACTAACTACAGAAGAAACATGGAGCCCATCACATATATGGGCTTCGAAGAAGCCCAGAACGTTAAGGTTAACAGGCCTTTTATCGACAACAAACTTAAGTTGGGCTCTTTAAGCGTTCTATGTAACGAGGTCCAAACCCGGCTCATGCCACATCAGCGAACGTTATTATCAGCAAGAACACATCCTCTCAAATTCAGTACCATTCACAAAATCCCCTCCCAATATCTCTCTCTCTCTCTCTCTCTCATGGCGG